AGAAATGCTCTATGTAACAAATATTTCACTGTTTGATGAATAAATAAACATTTTAGCATGATGTAAAACAACAGTATATAGATACATATTCATATGTGGAATAATTCAATATCTGATACTGTGATGTAGTTTGATGAAAAGGTGAAATATCAACTACTTTCAGCAGTAACTACATTCACACAGGTAGAACCTAGTTTGATGAAAAGGTGAAATATCAACTACTTTCAGCAGCAACTACATTCACACAAGTAGAACCTAGTTTGATGAAAAGGTGAAATATCAACTACTTACAGCAGTAACTACATTCACACAGGTAGAACCTAGTTTGATGAAAAGGTGAAATATCAACTACTTTCAGCAGTAACTACATTCACACAGGTAGAATCTAGTTTGATGAAAAGGTGAAATATCAACTACATTCAGCAGTAACTACATTCACACAGGTAGAACCTAGTTTGATGAAAATGTGAAATATCAACTACATTCAGCAGTAACTATATTCACTCGGGTAGAACCTAGTTTTCACAGTAAAAGGGTCAAAATACAATAAGATACTCTATACAACTCTGATTAATGTTCTACAACTCTACAACTGTGTGAAAAAACCTTCTATAATTGCACAACTATTAGCTCTTTATACCAGTTTCAGTATTTTATGTTTTTTTCTTCATATTCATTAACTTAAAAATATTGGTATTAAACCAAAATTATTTAACTTGTAAGACAATTCTTTGTTTCTTTTGAATTTTGCACAAAGCTGCATGAGGGCTATTCATCCCTAATTTAGCAGTGAAAGACTATATGGAAGGCAGCTAGTCATCACCATCCACCACCAACTTTTGGGCTACTCTTTAACCAATGAATAGTGAGATTGACCATCACATCATAATTCCACCATAGCTGAAAGGGTGAGCATGTTTGGTGGAACGGAGATTTGAATCTGTGAACCGCACATTGCAAGTCAAGAACTCCAATCACCAGTCCATGTCAGGCCTAAAACAATTCTTACTCACAATAAGAAATGTAAACAGGCTACACTTCGAAAGGTATGCTAAAAAATTCAGTATTTAACCCAAATCACTTATTCTTGTTTGTACAGAGGGTTGAGTATATTACATTAAAATCATTTTGAGCCTCACCAGTTATTAAAGTTCATGTTGCCACATCCAGTCAAGCCCTATCTGATGTCCATAAATCTTTATTATACCTCAGAATAGTTTTCACTTCAAATGAACCTGTCATAAAGTTGTCATGTCCAAAACATCCCACTCCTTTCTGTTTGTTTTCCATAATCTATTAACTATATAAAATGATGATTTTGCAATGCTCATTTTAATAGTCTGATCACAGAGAAGTCTATAGACACTTCATGCAGCAATACGACTGGTATGTATTTTAATGGAACACTCACTTCACTCTCTAGCTGCTAGAAGTTTGTATTTCACTCTTTAGCTGCTAGAGATTTGTATTTTGTACATGGAAACAGCTTGTGTCATTTTTCCAGACAGGGATCCTTCCTGACCGTATCGCATACTGTTATGTCTCACTTTACTTACCACAGTTGTGGTATGACACACTGCAGGATTTTTTATTGTTTTTGGATGTTTATGGTGCCCCAAGTTATCGAATATTGCTTAGTATCAGAGTACCATTAAGTAAAGGGATATCTCTTGTCTTGGAAATTCTAAATCCACAATCTGAACACATTCATGACTTATGCATACAAATATTGTGTGTCAAAAAGGGCTTTTAAATAACCAAAGAAACAGAGAAATATAAAAATGTAATTACAATACATGCCATTCCACAAACTCTTTATACAGGCTGTGATATTCAAGTGACTTGTAAATTCAAAATAGTCTTAATATAATGTGCTCAACCCTCTTTACAACCCAATAAACCCTTATGAAACTATGTTTTAATTTATGCTAAAAAAAAGGTCATAGATGTAATACTTTAAGACATCTTTACTAAAAAATGCTATTCACAAATTATTTTTCAAGATAAAATAAAACCATAAAAGAACGTTGTCTATATAAATCTTTCAAAACAAAGAAACCTACCACACAATCCTTCTGTGCTGTTGAAGTAATACTTAGAAGGCAGTTCAATGTTAAATCCAAAGTTTAGTTCAAAGTACCGAACTGCAAGGTTGATAGAAGGAACCTGAACAACAGCACTACGATCTTTCACTGCTGTGATATTGAAACCCTCAGCCACAAATGGATAGTCACTTTCTTTGATAGAATATCCATTAAATGTTACCTTTAAAAAACAAAATAATAGTCTTAGAATTTTTAATTCAGGTCAATAATACAATAGCTAAAAACTAATACACTTGTTGAAGGAAATTACAAAAACAAAGACATCCACACACACAAACACAATGAATTAATTTTGAACAAATAAACAACCAGATATATGAATCTATATGTCAAACCAAATACAGTAGTAATACTCTCAGTGCACCTACATATCAAACTAAATACAGTAGTAATTTGCTCAGTGAACCTACACATCAAACTAAATACAGTAGTAATACTCTCAGTGAGTCTAAACATTAAACTAAATACAGTAGTAATACTCTCAGTGAGTCTAAATGTATTTAGTTTAATGCTAATGTATTTAGTTTAATGTGTAGATTCACTGAGTATTACTACTGTATTTAGTTTAATATGTAGACTCACTGAGAGTATTACTCTATTTAGTTTGATGTGTAGGAGCACTGAGAGTATTACTACTGTAGTAATAATCTTAAGTGGATCTACATATTAAACTAAATACAATTGTAATAATCTTAAGTGGATCTACATATTAAACTAAATATAGCTGTTTATCCTGACACTGATTTTAATTTCTATGCTGATGATCTTGTTGTCATAATCCTTCCATACTTCACTGATGTTGTTTTGTTCTTACCTTTTTACTTTATGCCCTTTTGTACTTTGTCAATTTTGTTATGAGAGTTCTTTAGCTTTTCTATAGCTTCCTAGATCTTATATTAAATCAAATCTATTTTCATTCACAATTCTTTTACAAATTTCATGTCTCATTCTTGTAATTCCCCTAATAAATATCTATTTCTTTCTTCTAGTTTTCTGTAATTTTCTTCCTGATTTTTTAATTTTGTGTCTTTCTTCCTGATCTTGTTTCCACTGTTTCATCATTTCTATTAAATTTTACATTTTGTTTAAAATATGTGTAATTATCTTCAACTTCTGGTAACAAACAATGCAAAATTCAATCTAACAAGTTCAGATAACAAAAATTTTCTATTTATTCAATTATAAGTTTTTCAACTCAACAAGTTCAACATATATAATGCTGGACTAAATAAATAATGCTAAATAATGAATTACTCATACATACTGTACTTCTCATATCTATTACTTTGTTTTCAATAAAAACTCAAAATTTTTAGTGTTTGCCCAACTAACTGGCTAACTCAATAATTACTAAACAATCTATTATAGTCTTGCATAAATAATTTTTATATCATTTAATTACTTTCTAACCTTTCAAGAAATACCTAGTCATTAATTAAGACACATGTTCATCAAATGATTTTACACACTATCTATGGCTATAAAAATATAAACATCTAAAATTAAGAAGTAAAAAACAGCCTACAACCATAAAGACTCTCAGTGAATGTGCACTTAATATTTTAAACTAGATACAGCAGTAAGTTCTCTAAGTGAGTCTATACTGAAACAATCTTAATTTCAGCTATGATGTTAATTTGTGTCTGTGATTCCATAGAATAATGCCAAAGAACAATAGTGTGACCTAACAGAATAATATCAAGCAAAAATACTATGGAATGAGAGAATAATATCAAATAACAGTATTGTGATAAAATAAAAGAGCATCAAGCTACAATTCTGTAATCAAATAGAATAACATCAAACAACAAAGTAATATATATCTCGTAAATAAATTTAACAAAAAGAAAGGAATCATCTAAGCAAGAATTTATATATTTTGATATACTAATTGAAGGTATCCATTAAGGAAGCAATATTAAATGTATAAAGGAGAAAGTTAGATAATGTTTCCCATTTACTTTTTTATTATGATGACCTCATTAGGTTCTAATCTCATACTCTACTTTGTGGAAGGTAATAATTGATTCATTTAACTGATTAGGTATTTCTGACATTAAATTCAAAGCCAAAAGTCTACAAAGAAGTGAAAAAGTACCCATATTTTGGGGTGTTGTTTATTTCTTTTCTCATTCAAAAATCCTACAACAAAATAGTCTATGTACACCATCGCACAGTTTCCAGTTATCACATCAAAAATTATGGTAACCAAACAAGCCAACTCTGATGCAAGCCAAAAGTTTATAAAATGTGAAATATTCCCTGTGTCAGGTTCTTTTATCTTCCTCTTCGATTACAAATCTTATAACCTAGTAGCTCATGTACTTTGTTGAACAGTTTCCAGTTACCATATCAAAAATACTGATAATCAAGCCAGTTAAGCAGTTTATAGATGCTAACACGCATATAACAGTTCACCTTTACAGTAACAGGTTACATGTTTAGATGCTAACACACATATAATGGTTCACCTTTACAGTAACAGATTACATTTAGATGCCAACACACATATAATGGTTCACCTTTACAGTAACAGATTACATGTTTAGATGCTAACACACATATAATGGTTCACCTTTACAGTAACAGATTACACGTTTAGATGCTAACACACATATAATGATTCACCTTTATAGTAACAGATTACATGTTTAGGTGCTATCACACATATAATGGTTCACCTTTACAGTAACAGATTACATGTTTAGATGCTAACACACATATAATGGTTCACCTTTATAGTAACAGATTACACGTTTAGATGCTAACACACATATAATGATTCACCTTTACAGTAACAGATTACATGTTTAGATGTTAACACACATATAATAGTTCACCTTAACAGTAACAGATTACATGTTTAGATGTTAACACACATATAATAGTTCACCTTTACAGTAACAGATTACATGTTTAGATGCTAACACACATATAATGGTTCACCTTTACAGTAACAGATTATCTGTTTAGATGCTATCACACATATAATGGTTCACCTTTATAGTAACAGATTACATGTTTAGATGCTATCACACATATAATGATTCACCTTTATAGTAACAGATTATCTGTTTAGATGCTAACACACATATAATGATTCACCTTTATAGTAACAGATTATCTGTTTAGATGCTATCACACATATAATGATTCACCTTTACAGTAACAGATTATCTGTTTAGATGCTATCACACATATAATGATTCACCTTTACAGTAACAGACTACACGTTTAGATGCTATCACACATATAATGGTTCACCTTTACAGTAACAGATTATCTGGTGTTTAGATGCTATCACACATATAATGATTCACCTTTATAGTAACAGATTATCTGTTTAGATGCTAACACACATATAATGGTTCACCTTTATAGTAACAGATTATCTGTTTAGATGCTATCACACATATAATGGTTCACCTTTATAGTAACAGATTACATGTTTAGATGCTATCACACATATAATGGTTCACCTTTATAGTAACAGATTATCTGTTTAGATGCTATCACACATATAACGGTTCACCTTTAGAGTAACAGATTATCTGTTTAGATGCTATCACACATATAATGATTCACCTTTACAGTAACAGATTATCTGTTTAGATGCTAACACACATATAATGGTTCACCTTTATAGTAACAGATTATCTGTTTAGATGCTATCACACATATAATGATTCACCTTTACAGTAACAGATTACATGTTTAGATGCTAACACACATATAATGATTCACCTTTACAAAAATAGATTACCTGTCTTCCTTTTTGTACTCTCACAGTATTTCCCTTGAAACGAACCGTTATTGCAGACAAACAGGCAGTTTTAGGTTCTTCTGGACATTCTACGTTTGTACCAAAAATCTGGAAATCTCGGTATCCCTTGTTAGTGCGATGCTGAGCAAGAACATAAGTACAATTTCCTTGAAAGGGATAATACTGACCATCAAAAGTGTAGTAGTTGGGGTCACCATAGCCTTTACAAACACCTGGGAAAACAAAAAAATTATGTAATTTCTAACTAAAAAATAATATCCTAATATCCCTTTGAACTTGCACTTAACTATGAAAGTGATTACTAATTCAATAAAAAACAAATTACCTTGACAAATAAAAAAAGAGATCACATAGTACATAAAACTGGTAGCAGAGAAGGAAAGGGTCAGCTTGAAAAGACAAAGAGAAGCTCACATAGTACATAGCATAAAACCGAATGTAGAGAGAAACAAGTCGACTTGAAAAGGTAATAAAAAGCACAAACAGTGAAATAGATTTTTTGTATAAAAAATAGCTTCATTGAAGGTTATTCTTGGAATAACTATGAACATGAAATATTAGGCAATTTGCATTTATAAATATAAATTTAGTTTTTTTTTAGCCACGGCATAGTGGCTCATAGAATGGTTCAGTTTTTTTCCAAGTACAAACCTTTAGCTCATAGCTCCATCTCTTGACTTATATGAGATCTAATTACAGCCACAGCTATTGCAGATTCCCTCTTGTTTTATATTTAGACTTTCTCAGTTTCTAACCACTGAGTTTTAAAACTTAGAATTATTATTATCATTGTTTTTCTTCACAGTTGTGGGTCTTCTAAAGTATTTATTTTTATGTTTTATCTTTTTGGGTAAAACTATTTATGTTAGAAGCTCATTGCATGTTATGTCTATGGAGTGATGGTTTGAAAAATTAGATTATCTGATTTTATTTTTTACCCAATTTGTGTTTCCTACCATGGAATAGTGGGTGTGGCATAGTTTCTGGTTACTGATGCATACTACATATAGGGAGTAATAATTTTAAAATGAAATATTAGCTGAGCTAAACAGTGTGTGGAAAAGTCAGGTTAGTCTATTGAAGTTGCAATGTAGTTTTGTGTAAGAGGAATATAAACCAGTTATAACAAATTTTGGTAGTTATTAAGTAGATGTAAAGGCATATTGCAACTGCATGAAAAGTGTCATTAAGGAAAGAGAATTCATTATTAAATTGTGTGAAGTTTTATCAAGGAAAAATATTCATACTTGTTTGAAAACTGTTACCAATGGAGGAATCTATACTTATCTATCATGAAAAGCGTTACCAAAAAAAAGAATTGATACTTATCTTGTGAGAAAAGTGTTTTCAGTCTAAACATAGAAAATAGGCTATGCTGAATCATAGAATCATCTGTTAAATTTTATTTCATTAACATAAAAAAATGTTTTATTTTTTAACCATATTAACTCAAAGATTAATATTTAACCATCTCATTAATTCAAAAATTATCCAATTACTTTTCAACATACACTACAGCCATTTATTTTATACAACTATTTGAAACTGTATGTTTTTCACCAAATATCTATTTCATGTATTTTTTCGTATTTATTTATTATCCAGTTTGGGGATCAGTTTTATCAATGATTGATCCTGTTTTTATTTTTGTTTTCTGTTAAACTTATTTGACAATTTAATTTTTTAATTTAAATAAACTTTTTAATATCAAAAAACAGAAAACACCCATTCACATATAATATTTTAACTGAATTAACAGCTAATACCTATTTGGCATTAATTAATTAATTAGTAGAAAAGGTTCAATGTAAACCATTTGCATACTGTTTTAAAAAACATACAGTGCTTGAAGCACAAAGTTAACATTACTCCAATGTCTAGTTTTGTTTCATTATTTCGAGACACTAAAATGTACTTACAATCAAGGCACATTTCAGGTTTTACACAGAACTTCCCATGGCGCAGCAGTCCGGGTGGACAGAAACAGCCAGATACACAAACAGCAGGACACACTAAGTCTTTTCTCTGGAAGTTATCACAGTTCATCTCACATGGAGAGCCACAATCCTGCCACACTAAACCAGGTGGGCATTTTGGAGCTAGATGGGAGAAAGAAATGAACCAGTTTGATCAACTAAGTGACTTTACAAGTAAATACCCTTAATTTTCCTACATTGCTACTATACTAATACATATAAAAAGAACTTATCTTCAAAATGCTTTAATAGTTATGACTTCACTTGCTAGATGTATAGCAACTACACATGTATATCAACTTTACATGTACAAAAAACCACATTTGTATAAGCTACTGCATGTCTGTTTATATGTAATAACAGTTCCTCAAACTGTTCTAACAGTTAATCTATTTAATTAAACATAAAACTTGAATGATGCATCTTGTGTGTTATATAACTAAATTTTTAAATCAATGTAAACAGCCAACTGGATTCTCTCTCAATACTTCTAAGTTAGGAATAACTAAGTGATATAAGAAACCACCTGGATTACTTCACAGTTAGTGATTCTAAGTTAGGAATAACTAAGTGATATAAGAAACCACCTGGATTACTTCACAGTTAGTGGCTCTAAGTTAGGAATAACTAAGTGATACAAGAAACCACCTGGATTACTTCAAAGTTAGTGGTTCTAAGTTAGGGATGATTAAGTGATACAAGAAACCACCTGGATTACTTCAAAG